TGTCCATCTTCCCTTCCCCCCCCCTACGTTCCTTCTCCCGCTCCTCCTCTAGCGCTTCCCTTGCTCGTTCCCATTTCCCCTTGCGCTCGTCCCGCTCCTAACCGCCTCACCGTTTTCCCTGCCGCTCCTCCCACTCCTCCTCCCGCTCCTCCACCCACACCTCCTCCACCCCTTTCCGTTTCCCCTTGCAATGCTCCCGCTCCTTCTCCCACTCCTCCTCCCGTCCCTTCTCACAATCCTCCCACTCCTCCTGCCTCTCCTCCTCCTCCAAACAATGTGACAAAGATCCCGCCATAGCCCCGCTCCCGCTCCTTCTCCCGCTCTTCCTCCCTCTCCTTCCTCCCTCTCCTCCCGCTCCCCCTCTTGCTGCTCCTCCCTCTCCTTCCTCCCTCTCCGCCCGCTCCCCCTCTTGCTGCTCCTCCCACTGCTCCTGCTCCTCCCGCTGCTTCTCCCACTCCTTCTCCCGCTGCTTCTCCTGCTCCTCACGCTGCTTCTCCTGCTCCTTCCGCTGCTTCTCCTGCTCCTCCCACTGCTCCCGCTCCTTCTCCCGCTGCTTCTCCCGCTGCTTCTCCCGCTCCCCCTCTTGTTGCTCCTCCCCCTCCTTCCTCCGCTCCTCTTCCTCGGCCATAGCTCCTTCCCCGCTCCTTCTCCCACTCCTCCCGCTCCTCCCGCTCCTCCCAGTCCTCCTCCTCCTCCTCCTCCCCCTCCCGCTCCTGCTCCGCCAAACAATGTGACAAAGATCCCGCCACAGTCTCGCTCCGGCTCCTTCTCCTGCTCCTCCTCCATATCCTCCTCCATCTCCTTCTCTCGCTCCCCCTCGTGCTGCTCCCTTGCTGCTTCTCCTACTCTTTCCCCGGTTCCTCCTCCCGCTCCTTCTCCCGCTCCTCCTCGCGCTCCTCCCGATTTTCCTCCTCCACATATATCTCCTCCCGCTCATGCGCCTCATGCGTGTTGGTAAACCCCCTCCCGCTCCTCCTCCCGGTCTTTTTACCCCTCCTCCCGCCTCCTCCGCCCCTTCCCGTTTCCTCACGTGCTCCTTCTCTCGCTCCTAACCCCCTCCCCGTTTCCCCTCCCGCTCCTCCTTCTCCCGCTCCTCCTCCCTCTGCTCCTCCGCCCCTTCTCGTTTCCCCTCCCGCTCCTTCTCCCGCCCCTACTCCCACTCCTCCTCCCACTCCTCCTTTTCCCGCTCCTTTTCTCACCCTTCCTCCCGCTCCTCCCGCTCCTCCTCCCGCTTAAAGCACCGACACTTTCAGCAAGCAGCCGCGCAGTCGAACCAAAAAAACGACGACACAAAAGTGTCGGTGCATCTTCGACCCATTCGCATTCCCTAGGTGGAGCGACAAAAATAGTGGACGTACATCTTCGCGACGTGCGCCTGGCGGAAAAACGGGTCTGTGGACGTACATCTTCGCGACGTGCCACAACCACTTCACATTCGCAGGGTCGCGCGCGACTTGTCCCCGACAAAACGGCGCTTGGTGGAAAAATGGGTAGGCAGCCCCAACAAAAAAAAGCGCCTAACGGGAAAATGGGTCCGCTGCCCCACACGGCGTCGCCCAGTTTCTGTTGGGCCCGTCACGCGAGACCCTCTTCTTCCTTTAGAGTATTAGAGAAGAGAAGGTATCGATGGACCGCGGCTCAGATATGAAACTGAGCAGAGCAGTTGCTACGCGTGATCGTATTGGGGAACGATCGAATATGAAAGAGATCGAAGCAAATACTACACTTTATCGTGTGGGGGGGAGTGGGGGGGGAGGCACATAGTTAGTTAGGTTGGTTCTC